GCAGTCATCCATTGAGGTCCTCAATTTGAGGAATGACGACCCGAGATGAGGGTTGGTGGAAATCATGTTTCAACGTAGAAGTGAACATTAACCGAGAGGATGTTTAATAGACGGATCGTCAAACTACGAACGAGTCCTTGGAACGCACTTCATGAACGGCGGGGTAGAAATGCATAGAACAGAAGTTCTGTTGATCGAATACATCGGTTCATACCTTCTTTCCCTCGATGATCACCTCATAATTCTGCGGTTCCGCTTGTCACAAGGACAAGTCGGCTTGTAATGGGATGAACTGTACCCCGTTGCGTAGACCGCCTCCAATCGCCCATGTGAGTACAGTCTGTTAAACAGACTGTACTCACTGCAAACAGACTCTGTTTGCGCTTGTCCCTGAGTCTTTGTGCGGAAATATTCGTGCGCTTGCGTGAAGCCTCCGGCCAGGGTGCACGAGTCGTGCATCAATCACAGACTTGCACAGCGTGATGGTTCCGCTATCCGCTTACCACCATATCGTAAGCCGGTCCCACCCGCGAGGAAGTAGACCTGTATCATACTGAGCTTCTTGGGATATTGCGTTACCCACTAGTTGAGGACTTCGCCGGCGGATCCATTTCACGTTTTAATGCCAGTATCAGACGTGGGTCGTACAAGAGGTCAGACATGAACTCCTACATTTATGAGGAGGACTCGTATAGGCCCGAACCAAATATCGTCTAGACAGACTGCAAATTAGTTCATTGATCTGTCACGCTAACACACAGCTTGATGATGCATATGCGTGCGATACCAAACCTGCCTTGAGCAAGCTGCCTATCAGTACGCTGCGTAATGTACGCATGCGCTCGTCATTGGTAGTACAAGAGGCCGGAAGAACGAAGCAACAGTTGGTTGTAGAACCCTTCCATCTCGATCGCCATGAGCACTGAGGAAATTTGCTCGGGTTTGTTATGAGATCAACCAGCCGTTACAGCCTTGAGCAAATTGATCTTGTGATATCAAATGGAACCCGTCTTCCATGGTGTTCAGGACCTCATTGCGAAGTGCCGATCGCTCTTCCGGTCGCACAGCTCTCTGATCATCGTGACTGGTGTGGCCTCACTGATCGCCTTCAAGGCTCTTAAGCTCATGCAGCGTAGCAGGGTGGATCTCCATGCACTCTTTGGTGGACCAAATCATGTGAGGCTAGGGCTTCACTTTAGTTAATCATGCATGTATGCCTTCTGGCTTTTGGTAGCTCATTCCTTTCCTCGGCTTCATACCGGAGTCTGTTGATCATATCTTTCACACCTTTGAGATCTACGCTGACACATATGGCGACGTGTATCACATCAAGTAAGGGGTCGCGTGTCGACCGATTCACTCGAATACTGTTGGCAATACGGATGCAATGGTTTTCTCAGAATCCTCGGCGGTGACGTGTTGGTTGTCTCCGATCCCGAACTGATCCGAGACGTCCTGAATGCACGTCCGAGAACCTACTTTAGACCGTCCAATAGAGACAAGATTTTACCTATAGAGGGCATGTTTACTACAGAGGGTAAAGTATGGAAGCGGAACAGACGATTGGGTGCGCCGGCATTTAACGACATCAACTCATCGGCTATGATTCCCGATATGTCCAAAGTTGCCTTGAGGCTGGTAAGGTCTGGATTGCCCTCTCTTGCCTCTACGTCACAGTGTGCAGATACAACAGTTGAAGTCCTTCAGTCAAGATGGTGTCATCGTATGGCGCCCCACAGAATGGCTTCCCCTCTGCACTTTGGATATTCTATGTGTCACCACTCTCGGAAAGGATTATAACTTGTTCAACACAGATGGTGAGCATCTACAATAGTTTATAACTTATATCACAAGTTATAACTGTTATAACTCATGACTCGTAGCTGTCTTGATGTCCGAGTCCAGCCCAAACGCGACCGAGTGATCTCACGCGAGCAAAAGGCTAAGAATTCTCGCCCGATATAATAGATCGTGGGGAACGCATAGGGTGATAGGATCCACTAATACATATGAAACTCCATTTCTGTGATGACAGTTCAGTCGATCGAGTATCTTTTCAAAACTGATGCCAACAGTGTGCGACGCGATCTGGCAAGTAACACGGTATCGGTGTGCTATGTTGTGCCCTGTTACAGGAAATGCTCTCGCACGACAGTCTGGAAAGCTTCGCCTAGCCATCAATGATCTCCTGGCGGGGTCAGGGTACGCTATGACACGCGATCCTATACCATGGATGACACGGGATAGGTTCCCGTGGAATCTGAATCCGATGATCAAAAAGGTAGACACCTCACCCAACGATAAAGTCGTCGCTCGATTCTCATTATTAGATGCACTCTGGGGCGAAGCAGCTGAGCAAAATATGTGATGAGATAATCGACGAACGCCGAGCGGAGCGAGACGCAAGGGGAAGAGAGGAAAGGCGTGACTTGTTAGACAAGCTTATGCATCTCGATGAAGTGGACCTGCGAGGGAACCTCATCACGTGAGTACTGCTTCTGATTTAGCATTCTACAATTGAACCAGTCAGCGACAGTATGAATTCCGAGTCGTAGCGCTTCGCTGTTCATTGGCTGCATATTTTCAGGTTCCTCATTGCTGGTAGCGACACTACCGCCATGACTGTCGCCTGGTGTCTCTACTATCTGGCCCTATACCCTGGAATACAGGACAAGGCCAGGGCCGAGGTGGATGGCCTTGGGCATGATCCCAATACTCAAGAGGACATAGACAAGCTAGTCTGTGTCAGGTGCTGTATACTTGAGACCCTCAGGGTGAGCCCTCGGTTACTTGACAAGTGGCACTCCTGTACCTTCTCAGTTACAACCTCCGGGTACATTGCTCTCCTTCAAATGCGCCCATGACACTGAGCTCCACGGTGAGCTAATCCCATCGGAGACATGTGTGGTAACATTGTTGCGTAAAGCCATGATAGCAGAGGCTCAGGGAGGCAAAACATTCGAGTATGTCTTCACTGTTGTTCATTACTTCATGCTGGAGTCTCTATCCCTGAACCTGCCTTCTATCTCAGTCCTGAGCGTTGGCTTCTCCCCGGCGGCTCCTCGATAGACCAGGCCCGTGTATGTGATCATTTAGCATTTGGTGGAGGGCCTCGCCAATGCCCTGGACAGAGCATGGCCATCAAGGAGGCTGTGGTGATCTTGACTCTACTCCTGAGAAATTTTGATTCCATGTCATTGAATTGTCCCGCTGCAAGTGTTCGTGGCGAGATGACATTCACATATGGACCTCAACATCTCGAGCTTCGAGCTTTCGCGCGATCTTGCTAATGCTCGCGCAGACCTGTACTATTACAGACGATCAATCTCTCCTCCTTTGCAACGCGTGATTCGAGTTCGGTAAAACACTAGCTCGCGGCATTGGACAGCAATGGGCCATTGCCGATGGCATGGTAGCTGGAGTTCTCCCTATGAAATGGGATCACGATGATGCCCACATGGATACCATCGCGTATGATGTTTACGCAGTAGACAAAGTTAGTTGTGGGTGCCGCACTGACTATTCCTTTTCGCGCGTTGCGAAAGATTATTGGTGACTATTACGGTGGAGTCACGGGCTCGTCAGCAATGCTGTCTCAGCATTTGTGTTCGGTGTATTGCCGTTGTAGCAAGATCGCTGTCGCTTGTGTCTCCCTTTTTCCCCATCTCCACTTTAGGCTAGCATGAAACTGTGGATGAACAGCTTATTCTAAGCTGTAAGTTGTCGTTGTAGTCATAATCGCGGGAATGGTTGCTATGGTCTTAATCGCGGTAAAGGAGTCGAACTTCGACTGTCGAAGTCAGTTGATAGTTTGTCAGTGATAACGGTTGGTAACGATTGGTGTGCTCGTGTTTACGGTGACAGTTTGTCACTGACAATTCGTTTAGTTATAGTCATAACGATGATAGTTATGATTATGCTCTTGCAGGGAGGCTGGAAAATTCGACTGAGAAATATTTCTAGAATTCTCCGGTTAATCATTACACTTCCAGCAAACTTTTTGCTCTTTTGAGGAGTTCTCGTCGGAAGCTAGTGTTTGTGGACTATCATGACGAACCACGAGTGGAATTGGTCCTACTAACAGTGAAAGGTTTCGTGAAAATAAGGGAAATGGGAAAATGATGAGATCGGCATGCCAGCGGAGCACCTTTCGCTAGCATAAGAGCGATCGGAAGCTGTGTTCGACGAATTTGAATTTGTGTTGCAGAATTCATGAGTTTCATCTACAAATTTCCGGCGCAACTGCGCCATGTATCACCGAATCGGTGACACCGGTTGTGCTTGTGGAGCACCTACAAAATTTTTGTCTGGCACGAATCGCCCACTGGGTTATAAGCCACTACGTTGCGTGAGCTTGAACTTCTCGTCTCACGTTACCCCCTGGACTGTTCAGTCGTCCATCGTTCCCTTTAGGAACAGTGCTAATTTCTTTCGCCTTAGTCTATTGATGATCAATTGTTTTTTTGTAGAACTGCGGAAGATTTTCGAGTCTGTTGTACTTATGCTGATTTCTCCTTACCATCCACTCGAAACTAAGCTCACACTGCCCCTTTCAGACTTAAGACTGGAGAATTTCTCGGGACCCAAGAAATTCTGGGAAAATGAGAAAATCTCAGTGCCGGTCACTAAGTGACGTGATATCCTCACACAATAATGCATTAGCGCGTCCACCCCCGATCCTTGTGCTTGCACGGTCTACGTTATACGTCTACGTAGCACGTATAAAGATGCGTTGAATGAAGGTCTTACGGCTCGGCCCAACCTCCTAGACTGTTTACACGATGATGAAAAGCGGGTCGAAGGCCCGTGTGTAGGCTCTGCCAGGTGCCTCACGCGGGAGTGCACACGTTCGGGCCGGTGGCCACGCACTCAAAAGCGCACGTGATTCACACGCACTGAAACGAGCTGAGAGTTACGTTTGCGCTATGTTGTGAGGGTTTTCTTGAGATACAATCGAAGCGACCTTGCGCCAAGTACCGTGAGGCCGAGGTCAAAGAGTGCTCTTATTATACGCGCAGGTACCTCGGCTGAGATTCCTGACCGTTGTACACTGCCGGTGTTTGCCTCACATTGTGGCCTTGTGGGGGAACTCAACCTTTGCAAGGCAAGCGTGCCACTTTCGTTGAGAACTAGGCTCGCCCTTTAGGAGTATCTCTCTTCGTTAATCTCTCACATGCACATTCGACCCTTCTCAATGAAGTTGCTAGTTGTGGTGATGCTTGGATCTGTCGACGCGGCTATCCCCAAGGAGACTTACTTCAGTACAACCTTCAAGTCTACGCCAACAACATGTTTCCAAGTGACATTCACTAAACACTATCTGCCCGAGGTCAGAGTGAGTCTCGACGCTGAGTGCCCTGATAAGGACGCGAGCGGCCTCCAGCTGAAGGTTATCCAAAATCCAGACAATGTTTTTACCGTGGATACCGCGGATGCTAAGACTAAGGCGGAGTATGACGAATTCTATGAGTGGAGTAAAACAGGGTGTCATGATGTTCTCAAGATGCAGAAGGGAGACATGAAACAGATCACCTACAAAGTCCTCAGAGGATTCGAGTCTCTCGAGGCGTCTATTGGAGGAAAATCGAGGCAGCTCACGCCTGGCAAGTGTCCCTAGGAGATATACCCGACCAAGGACGGGGTTATTACTCTTAGTGATTTTTTCACACCTCACTTCACTGGTGCCTCTCTACTTCACGTGTAGTTGGGTTGGATAGACGATAGAATACCAACAGTATACTTCGATTTGCTTTAGGCACTAGAGTTTCTTTTCGATAGAAAACGGGTATTGGATATGCGAACAACATACCGAGTAACGTGCTCTGTTTGCCCGATTGACGTTAATTGTTCGCACGCTATCCTTCATCCTGTAACACTATCTCGGACTTCTTTTCGGAAATGGCAAGTGACTATTCTTTTATTCTACGGTCGTGTTCTTCTCTTCGCAACATCGGTCTCCCCGTCCAGGCAATCAAATGTAGAGTTAAGGAATGGGATAAGATGTTCGCTTGATTTCACCAAGCATACGACATCGTCGGTGGGTTTGATACGAGAGTCGTCTCGTTCGAGCCGAAGCAATCATCGACCTTAGTCAGTAAAAATCTATGACTCATCATCGAAATGTGAAGCTACAGTAATGATGCCATAAAAGGGTTCGATATCAGACAATATATTGTGGGCCTTGCGCTCCACGTCAGCCTCCTGGCTCTTCTCAGTAGATTTGTGCTCAATTGTCGATCCAGGCATCTCTGAGATTTCAGACAAACTCAGTCGCTCCTCTGCAGCTCGCTCGTCCTTCAAGAGTGACACGTCTCTCCGTAGATTGTTGATTTCTTTAGTCAACGTCATATTGTCCTGCATTACTCCCATTACTCCTGCAGTATTCGTAGATCCATGAACCTTGAGAGAGGGGACACGCATAATTTCCTAAGCATCTGCAGTAGCTTCCCGAATAGAGAACGGAATAATAATTTTCCTTCCCACTCGAGTTGCCTTTTCATGCTTCTCATTCAGAGTACTAAAACACTTCTCAAGGTGTTCTCTCCGTCTATCGAACTTCTGGTCACCATAAACTGATGAGAATCAATCCAACTTCCGCCACAGGGTAAGGCAGACGGCTCGTCGATATCCGCTATGGGCCATCGCCAAATGCGGCGGCTATGACAGAGGACTACGCGGCTTCAACCTGGTTATCCATCTAGTGGATATGAGTGACAATTGCATGAATGAGAGAAGTGATTTCCCGATGAGGACCAAGCATTGGAGGACAACTCTATGCTAGAGATATCGCCAATTCTTGTGCTCGTACTATAAGCCTTCTAGTCTACAACTGGCTATAACTTGGAGGCTCTTAAACTTCAGTATTCTTCAAAAACACACGCACGACCAAGGTTCATCTTTTTGGAAGAAGGCTCTTCCGTCTCCCTCAAGATCCTCATTCCTTCAGCATCCCCGCCACTATCAGCTCTTTTGTTCGTTTATTTCCCTCTAGGGTAAGCTGATGATACATTTTCGTAATATTTTTCTCCAACTTCCGCCAGTCTTTGCATCCTCGAAAACACTCTCTTATTGCCGCTTTCGAGACCAGATACACAACCAAATCCCCACATGATGATAATCTGATCAGAGACTTGGAGAGGGGAGTAGATGGAGCCAGAACACGGAGGTCGATAACATCGACCATATTGTGGCAGTTGGATACCCTTGTTTCACTCGTGATACGTGAGACGATCTTTCCCACGAACCGAAAATCGTGGAATTCGGGATGTGGTATTACGTTCAGTCATTTTACAAGAAGCACACGAAACCCGGATCCACCCCATGCTCTCGCTACTCCTTGGCGATTTTTCCCTTTTCGTCTTTTATGTTTAGCAAGTTACTGACAGTAACAGTGACCGCTACATTTGACACCACAAGGAAGCCACGACAGACTGCCGCACTCTCTGTTTCATATTCAACTCTGAAACGTGCGAACTCAGCTGTTTGCTCCGTCGCATGCACCTGAGCAATCACTTGAATGTGAACGCAGTGAACATACGAGAAATGGCCCTACACTCAACAATAGCAAGGATACACTACAATCTCAGTATCGCTCTACTTCAAACTATCTAGCTGCTAGATAACAGGCACTAGATATCAAATGGAACTCATCTACCATAGTGTCCAGGAGCTCATGGTGAAGTGCCGATCACTCTTCCGATCGCACGCTAGTCTGATCATCGCCACCGGCGTAGCCACAGTGAGGCTCCCTCACTAGTCACCTTGAAGGCCCTTAAGCTCATGCAGCGAACCAAGATGGACTCCGAGGCAATATTTGGTGGACCGAATCAGGTGGGTTTAGTTTGCGCTTCTCAATTCATGAGGCGCAAAACTTTTAGTTTTTGCTCGTTCCTTCCGGGTTGTTAGTTCCCGAAGTCAGTGGATTATCTTTTCCACGCATTGAAGTCTACGCTGATACGTACGGTGATGTACACCACATCAGGTGAGGAAGACTCGAATACTGTGAAATAGGATATATCCGACAGCAGTCGAATCTTATCGGCGTATACGCATATCCAATATGCGTATAGGTTGAGTGTTTGCTCATCCCAGAACTAGCCGCTAGTCACTAGCGGCAGGGACGTGCGAGTCGTACCCAATCCTGAGCCTATTCGACAGGTTCTGAATGCACGTCCGAGGACTGATGTCAGAATGTCATGAAGGCCAGGTTCCTGAGCCTGATCTATATGTAATGGGTGTAATCCTGACGTAATTCGGTCGCTCCGAACATCTTGTTAGCCGAGGAGAGAAAAAAGTTTGAATTATGATCATATGCTCAACTACACCCCCTATCTGAGTTCTTGCTCGTTGGAATACACCTTTTCATACTCTATTTCAACACTAAAAACTTCAATTTCATCAGGCGAGCGAGTTCGCCCCAAGATACCCCTATGGAAACTCCAATTTCGACGGTGCGCGGTTAAGGGAACTCCAACTCCGTCAACATATCGATTTAGGAACATCAATTTCGTTGGCGCGTTGATTCAGAAACTCCAATTTCGCTAGCGCGTCGATTTAGGAACTCCAATTTCGACAAACAGATTCAGGAACTTCGATTTCGAAATATTAGTAGCTTCTTTTTCGCACGTAGGAACATCAACACGTGAGAACGGTTCTCGTTTCGTACCGCAAAACGCCAACGCCCAGCACGCCATCAGGAAGATATGAAAACCGTTTTCCTGACGAACGGCCTCCCGATAATCAGATATGTACAGCGTATTCCGTTCGTATTCCTTTGTGGTTCGATATGAATTCGCCTTCTCCATTTCTTCAGCTAGGATTTTGAACGAAGGATTAACTCCAATTCATCATGGGAAGGTCTCCAGTTAGTTGTACTCTCAGTTTACAGCCATCAATTATTATATAAATATATAATCTGGCCTCCATGGTGGGCAGGACCTCATGGTAAAGTGCCGATCGCTCTTCCAGTCGCACGGTACTCTGATCAACGTCACTGGTGTGGCCTCATTAATCGCCTTGAGGGCTCTTAAGCTCACGCAGCGTACTACGCTGCGTACCGGGGTGGACCTCCATGCACTCTTTGCCAAAGAGTCTTTGGTAGACCAAATCAGGTGAATTTGGCTTTCGCTTCTCCATTCATAAGATCTTTCCGGCTTTGTTAGCTTCTTCCGGTCCTCGGCTTCATCCCGAAGTCAGTGGATCACCTCTGCTACGCCTCGGAGCTCTACGCTGATACCTACGGTGGTGTATACCACATGAGGTGAGGAACACACGAATACTGTCGAATATGCGAGAGTTAAGTATTTTCTCTCCTCAGATTCGTCGGTGGAGACATGATTGTCGTATTCGATCCTGAGCTTATTTGACAAGTCCTGAATGCACGCTCAAAGACCTACATAAAGCCTTCCTATAAACGCAAGATTGTACCCGTGGACGGCGTGTTTAACACACAAGGTGAAGTGTGGAGGCGGAACAGGGTTCTCGGCTAACCGTTCGCCGCATTCAACGACATTAACTCATCGGTTATGATTCCCGATACATCCGGAGTTGCTTTGAGCCTCAAAGTTTGAGGCTGGTAAAGTCTGGGTTGCCATCCATTAGGTCACATTGTGCAAAATCTGCACCGCAGATAAGACAGTTGAAGTCCCATGCTGACTCAGCATGGTGTCATCGCCTGGTGCCCTACAGAATTGCTTCCCCTCTGCACTCTGGATATCTCATAGGTTAGGTTCCCGTGGAATATCAATCCGATGATCAGGAAGGTAGACACCCCACCCACCGATAAAATCGTCGCTCGACTCTCATTCTTTTTAGACGCACTCGGGGGCGAAGCAGCTGAGTTCGACTTCCTCGGCAACTGTTCTTGACCTCGCACCTGGGAGAAGTCGGAATATGGTGTAACCTGTTAATCTGTCCACGATGGTTAAAGCATGGCCAGTCTCCCTTCTGTCTCGCTCGTCGTGGATCCTGGCCACCGTAAGGACGCATACAGGTCGACACCCACTACTTGGAACGCGTATTCCGGTAGCGGTATGGGTCCTGCTGATTGCCATATATTAGACGCCTTCGTCGCGGTGTGTAAACATGGACCACGCCCTCCCGTACAATCTGACGAAATCCGTGGGCACTATTCGATTTGGACAACTTTACGGAAGGTTGACGGGTACGAATCGTACCGTACGATCGATGACCAAGTTGAGAATGGACCACTCCTTGAAGAAGTTGGGATTATTACTTTTTCCCAATTACATCGGCGCGTTTCATCAGAAGTTTCATTCGAGAGGATGGATATATAATCATCTTTTATGGGTCTAGAGTGTATACGTTTCCTTGGAATATACTGAGCATGCATCTGCCCATACCAAGAGTTACATTCAGCTGGTCATATCATCGAGCCGATTGTGAAGTCACTTTGCTTGTCTCAGTCGAGGCATGATGTATGCGCCATCGAGACCTCCTTATCGATAGCGTACAACTTTTTGGGTCCTTAGAGATTTACAGGCTCTGTCCAGGTCGCTTGTCGCGTTCTGTCAAGTGACTAACCGTACGTAACATCTTGCTACACTACCTTAAGACGCAAAACCTGCGACGTCTCACCCGGCATGCGCCGCGCTTTACACTGAATCTGGCCAACAAATTTGGTGTAGACTACACCGTGTAGTCTGACGAAGCGTGTGAATGTAATGAATACTTCTGATTTAGTATAGTGGGTATGGTTGCACTATATGTGAATATGGTGAGTGGCTC